AGGCCACGATGCCATTGGCCTTCTTGGCCACCTGGGCACAATGCTGGCTCATGTTCAGCTTCCTGTCAATCAGAACTCCAGGTCCCTTTTTGCCTGGCTGCTCTCCAGCCACTCTGTGCCCAGCCTGTAAGTGCTGCTTGGATGTACAGACCTTACCCGGGTGGAGATAGCAAAAGCCTTAAAAACAAGGGAGTTCTGACCCTTTTTGAGTTCTCTGTGTCCATACTGCCACCAAGGCCAGGCTGTTGAAACTGTGGTGACAACACAAGGATAAGAACAACATAGTTTTTGCTGTGCCTGTGAGAACAGTGGTCACCCAGAGGGTTGCTCAGGAGACCTGTGAAATGTTCTCAGAGCTGTCACAGAAATAGTTACAGCAAAATCATTCATGTCAAAGACCATAAGGGTTGTCCTTTCACTGTTATTATGTTGTTTATCTCAATTCAAACTTTGATTTTCAATATTTGCTCAAGAACACTAGTTTACTTAATTTTCTATTACAAATATTTTAGTGTTCCAGGTACCAATTGAAAAGGAGCAACACGGCTAAAGACATGGACAGGGTGTGAAATTTCTAAATTTTGAAAGAAGTCACCTGCCTGTGATTTAGGTCTCATTGACTCCAAAACTATGAGGCTTTGCAGAGCTAATTTTCAAGGGCAAGAGTTATATATAGGTCCTTGAAAACTGTATTTGGAATTTTCAATGTGGGGACAATAACTTCCAGTGACTGGGGGACAGTGAGAGAGCTGGGACTGTTTAGCCTACCGAAGAGAAGTCTCAAGAGATCTTATTAATGAATGTAAATACCTGAAGGGAGGGTGCAAAGAAGATGGAGGCATGCTCTGTTCAGCAGTGGCCAGTGACAGGACCGGAGGTAGTGGGTACAACCTGAGACACAGGAGGTTCCCCTTGAACACGCCTCTGAGAACTTTTCCACTGTGAGGGTGACTTAGCACTGTCAAAGGTTGCCCCAAGAGACTGTGCAGTCTCCATCCTTGGAGATATTTTGAATATCCAGCTTTTGAAGCTGTCTGGACAGGGTCCTTGGCAACATTCTATAGGTGGTTCTGCTTAAGCAGGGGGCTGGATCAGATGACATCCAGAGGTCCCCTCCAACCTCAAACATGTTGTCATCGTGTGATTCTCTGGTGCTGTTATCACACTTAGATGTCACTTACATGGGAACTTTATTAACATTGTTATATAGTTTGTAATTTTGGAGAGCTAGAATATTGCTTTTACCAGTTATTCATAAATCTGTATCTAATTCTGTTATCTGTTTCAGTTTGAAAGCATTCATATTTCAGTGCTTTTCTATTGATTTAAAAGATTTTTGGCTCCTTTTCTCTGGTAATTCCTGATCCTTCGTGTAGCCTGAAAAAACAGAGCCCAGTTTCTGCAACAATGCATAACAGAAAACTGAAAATCAGTAGCACTCACATTGTCCCCAAGAGGTGTAGTTTGTAAACCATTAAACCATCTTCTCTTTCTCATGATGAGGGAGAAATTTAGCTTCCAGCTGCAAGAGTAAATCTCATTTCTGTCAGCTTTGTTACATGGTAAGTAATTTTATTTTACTATATAAATTCTAGGGTGTTGTATTAGTAAATATAACTTGCCCTTTCCTTGTCTTAGATGTTACATTTTGAGGGCAATGGGTCATTAGGAAGACTTCAGTGAAAACGTTCCAAAGTCCAGGGCACTGTGTATTCTCTCACATTGAGCTAATCTAGGTTGGTTCGCAGCTGGAGCCATGGGCACTGAGGAAGGTGAAGGACTCAGCAAGGCAAGAAGCTCAGATTGCTGGTGGGACTAAATTCCCCACCAACCTACCCTGGAGAAATAGACATAAATGGCCTATACCAACAGAACCAAAATTGCAACAGATTAAAAAATTCCCTGACCACCAGGCACTGTAGGTAACAAGCCAGAAAAGAAATGTCGCCAGACCTATAGTTTGTGCTCTTTGGTACTGCGTGCAATGATTTGACATCGTGCTTTTTTGCACAAAGGACTGCATTTAATGTTTTAACCCCACACAGCAGAACAACATACCTGTTCATTCCTTGCAATTGTGGAATTACCATGCTACAGACTTCCTAATGCTCTGCCTTGACTGCCATCAAAGGGAAATATCTGAGTCACACAGAGCATAATAACGAGAGGAACAACTCATATGACCTACTTCTTACCCACTGCCTTCAGGCAGTAGTATTTCTGTGCCTGGAAACCTTGAGGGTAAGCATCCCACAGCAACCTTGAGTTAAGAATGTGGTGAGGTATTTTTTGAGCTAAACAGCCTGATCAGGAAGAGGGTTGCACTGTCTGCAAAGGGGTGTGGGATGTAAGGGTTCTGGATTTTGGCTGATGTTCCTGGGGAGCTGTGCTGAAGGGTAGCATTTGCAGGAATTTAGAAAAGGGAAGGAAAATAGTATTTTAGCACAGATGCTGATCAAGGTAATAAGTGAATTAAGCCAACACACACGCACACAGACCAAGGAGTGGATCCAGAGACCCATTTATTATGGAGGGCTACCCTTGTTCACGTTGTCATTCACCCTTGGGCTCCGAGAGTAGTGTAAATGAGCATCAGTCATGACCATAAGGGCTCTCTGAGCCAGAGGTCGGGGGCGGAGTACAAGCTGTCTTGTGTTTCTACAGCCTTTTCAACCAAATGGGTTTAGATATGCTTTTGGCTGTTGCACTAAAGGAGGATGGGAGGAGGGAAGGAGTTTCCCATGGCCTTGGCTCTTCCCACCCTTATCTCTTGCTGTTTGTCGTGAGGAGTGGATGGCTATATGGTGTAGGAGAGGAACTGAGTAGACTGTCAGCTCTTGGTCTCATAAATGCATTGATTGATACCTATGGCTTCAGCTGATAACAAAAGTGTGATTAGAGCAAAGAATGGGGCAGGAAGGAGGGTGTTTGCTGTCTTGCAGGACTGCAAAATAGACCCTTGACCCTGCTAGAGATTCCTGCTTTAGCTTCAGCAGAAACAGAATCTTCCTTTAAAAGTAGAAATATCTTCCTTCAAGAAGGAAAAGTTTTCATACTCCAGCACTTGGTAGAAGGTCCTCTTACCCGCTGTTCCCATTTCTTCACAGTGGTATGAGGAGAAAAAAAAAGGTAATTAAACCTATCATAGTTGCTTTTTCTCTAATAAAGGAGATGGAAAAAAGCCTCATAGATTCAAAAAGGCTTTTCTACTTGTATTAAAAGTAGATGTTGTCATATTAACCTCACTTTAGTTATAAATTTCACCTATTCTGATGAAACTGAGGAAAAGATAGCTGTGGAGTATCCCTGGATAAAAGTATATTATCTGCTTTTTTTATAGGGTGAAGAACAGCAATGAAAAAATGATCATATCTCCTTGTCAGCTCCATAAGCTACTTTTTTGAAGCAGCTGCTTCAAGTGCCTAGAAGTATCACTGGTGCAGACAAACTGAAATCCATGTGAAGGACCTTGTCTCTCTCGCTCTCTCTGCTCCCATCTCCCTGCCTCTCTCGCTCCCTCCCTTTCCTTCTCTTTTTCTCTTTTTCTTCCAACTCCTCATCTCTTGCTCTTTGCCTGTCCTAACTTTTCCCTTTCCTTTTAGGTGAATAATCCAGTTGTCTGATAAGAAATCTCACGGAAGGCTAATTCAAGGATAAAGGATTATATTTGTCTGGTCACAAAATTGGTCACAGGGGATTCTCTTTCATTTAATTTGAAATAACAAAACGTAGTTAGCTTATACACTATAAATAATGTTAGCTTTCAGAATATATGAGAGAATGGCGATGTGTCTTTGCTGAGCACAATTTAAAACTTCTTGTGTCAGCTGATCAAATTAAATAAAGCTCCTGTGCTGTCAAAGTTCAAAATCTACTGATGTGCCAACATTCATTCTTCAGCTCTGTATTTAGCTTTCCAGGCAGATAAGGTCAGCCATATCTGATTGATCCAGATTCTGTCTTGTAGGAATACCAGATGGCTGTTTCTGTAAGAAAAAGGGTGTTTTCCCCTGTTTTCCTCCCACAGCAGAGCAGCTGATTTGGTCTTATTCCACCAGATGGCAAGCTTTAACCAAGGGAAAAAAAATGGTTTTTGCAACTATCCATTTACCTTAGAGGAGAGGGGGAAGAGAGCTTGCATCATTGGTTTTTTTACTTTCTATTTTAAAGAAATGTTTTTACTACAACAGGCTCACATCCATCTTCTGGCATGATTTGTAGTGTTTAGAAAAATAAATCAATAGAACAGCATTTGCTGTCAGCTATTGAGTAACTGACAGGTGTCACAAAGAGAAGCAAAAAATGGTTTAGAATATATGATCTATCCCCAAATTTCACCGAACAAAGATAGATTCAGTGCTCCTAAACAAACATGTATGGTGATTCCAGTAAAAAATGAGAAGATATTACTGAGCTCTCAGTGCTGCAGAACAGACCCTGAGTTCTGGTTATTCCCAAAATCTGCATTAATCCCTAGATTTGACTCAGGAAGGGGCTGCTCTGCCATGTGTTTCTGCCATCATAACCTGCCTGCAATGCCTGGACCATGCACAAAGCAGAGGAGAACTGTGCTTGCTCTGTCCAAGCTACATTATCTCTTCAGTCCAGGGCAGTCTAGGTTTCAGACCTCCCGGGAGTGGAGATAAGTCTGTTTGTATTAATGCAGCAGACTTTATCTGCTGTATTAAAGTTAAATATGCTAATTTTCACTCATTCATTTCATTTTACAAACTGGCTGTTCCAGCTTCACAGGAGAAGCAGTTGTGGCACCAGGAGGTGACTTAGCTTGGCAGAGGTAACTCAGCCATGGAGCATTAACAGGGATGAGTGAGGTCCAAGTCTCCCAAGCCCAAGCTCGACAATCTGGCCATGTGGGTCTGGAGATATCTGCACTGTCTCCAGCAACAGGAGAGAAGAGCTGTGGGAAGTCTGTAGCCTTTGGGTTAGAAAGCCTGGCATGTAAAATCACAGCTGTCAGTTCTTTCACTTCTTTTTTTTTACTAACATTTCCCTCTTCCTGAGACCGTGGGTCCATCCCCACTTGGGAACTGGGCTCCAGGTGACTAGCATGCTGGAAACCTTGGCAACCCTGGAAGTTGCTTGCCCATCCCTGCAAAGCAGAAAAGTGGTACGCAGTTTTTCAAGAGGAGAGACATGACTGAGTAATATCACGAAACACTTCAAAAGGCAGGGGGGAAATCAAATCTGCATCTTCTCACTTGCTGACCTAATGACCGTAGAAAAAGTGTTCCCTCCTTTTTTCTGTATGCTCTGTAAAAGTAAATGATTACTCCTCCATTATAATCACCTTTACAAGTTTAAAAACAGCTTTACCTGTGTCCGTATACAAGTTTCTTAGCTCTTTATAAAGAATAAACTTCCAAAAATAAATCAAAGCCATAGATATTTGTAAAATTATGCCAGATGAGCTTGAGGGAAATTTATGCAACAAACACAATTACGTGGCAGTGTGTAAAGTAGTCAAAACTTGCGAGCCCTAGTTCCGAGACTTAAAAATAAATACATATGTTTAAATTATCCTTGCATTTCCAGGAGCATGGTTTTAATTTTTTTCTCAGCATCAAGGAAGGTTGGAAGCCTTTGTTTTTCCAAAAGTGGGAACTCATTCTTCTGTTACCACGTGACTCGTAGAACTGAGGCTTTACAAAAGGCTCAGGACTCATTATACAAAAAAGTTTGAAGAGCTTCAGCAGTACAGACTGCAGCAAAATGGAAGAGTTAAGGAATACAGGTGGCTGTGTGTGGGTGTCTGCTTCTATAGTCATGCTTTGAGGACTTAGCCTGTGCTTCATTTCTCTCAGGGAGAGGATTATGGGCTTTGGAGTTTCGTACTGTGCTTTGAGTTTATGTCTCAGATTTTTTTTTTTTTTACCTTTCTATAGAACATTGCAAATTCCTGCAGTGTCTCTGCCAGAGCTGCAGGCATGCCTAGGAAAATTGTGGATGCCCTGTGTGACTCCAGCATCCCTGTCTCACACACCTCTTCTCTCTGGAAATAAACATTATTTCTCCAAAGCCATGTAGGTTTGACCAACAGCAAGACTCATCTCGCTTTGCTTTGCTGCCACTCATTTTACTATCCACCTAATCTCCTGGATTAAGGGAGCTTTTGAAAACATCACACCAAGGTGACAGCAGTGAAGCCAGGCAGGAAATGCTTGGTGCATCCTCTGGAAGACATGGGGGCCCATTGCCCAACCCAGGCAGTTCTCACCAGGGCAGTAGTGTGCCAGCTTGGCTTACTTATAAATGTAAGGATAACGAGGTCATTTTTGTCCTGGGCCTCTCTTCTTGACTGCTACTGAGAAATGCCAGTGTAGTTATATAGAGAGTCAGAAGACTTTTTTTTTTTTTATTTATTTCTGCTCTTGCTGTGGGCTTTGGCTCAGTGAATTTTGCTTTGGTTTCTCCAGTGTGAGTTAATTTGGAAATCACTTGGTTTTGTGACAGAATGGGATGAGACTAAACTGATGATTTTGGAACAAGACCACAAAACCCAGGCCAGAATTGCCCAGGTAGAAAAGTATTTTTCCTTCATTGCATCCAGTAAATTTGAATACTGTAATAAAGTGGAAGCCCGCAAAAACCTTATATGTATTAATGTCTTTTACTTAATTTTAATTTTACTTTTGGTCTCATATGTGAAACTCTTCAAGTCTGAGTTTCTTTTGTTTTATAATTCAATTGTTGATACACAAACTAAAATAAAATCTGATCCCTTTTCCATATTCATGATGGCTCTGCAGTTCTAACAAAACTAAACTATAATAAACGAGTGCAAAACAAACTTCTTTTTTTTCTGCTAAGAGAGTTTTGTAATAAAATTCCAAGTAAAGGTAAAGGATTTCACATTCACATAATAACTCTTCAAGGGTAGGAATGGATTTTAAAGCCATGCATCTCAGTAAAAAAAAAAAAGCTTTCAGTTCCTCTCTGAATGCCATTTTGCAGTCTGTAAGGTTTGTTTAAGCACTAATCTATCAAACACAGAAAAAGCTAAGATCACTGGTCTAAGTCATTTGTGTAGAGGAGACAACTCTTCCAACCTTGAATAAATCTGAGCTTCTATTGAAAGAACTCCCTGAATCAGAAGTGCCAGGCTGGCAGGTGTCTGAAGCCAGATGTGATGTTTGATCTCAGATGTGTGGAAACCATCATGCCTACAAAGGTGCATCCAAAGATGCATCTGCAGGAGGCTCTGGAAGAGTCCAGTGCTGCAAACAGAGTCATGGTCGAGTTTTTCAGGGAAGTGCTAGGTTTACTTGTCTTGTCATCACCCTTCTCTGGGATTCAGCATGCAACCACACTGGAGGTAGGGTCCTGAACCTTTGGTCTGAAATGTATGGCTTCTCCCTAAAGTTATTTGTTTGCAAAGTTTTTCTATGGTGTTATCTGTTTGACAGTGTTTTAAAATCTCTTATTATACTTCCTGAGATAAAAAACTTTTGCTACTGAGGCAAGCTTCTAGTCAATCTTTCTCCCTCAAATAAATGTTGTTTTCTTGTTACTGCTTCTCTCTGCCACAGCTAAAATAAATCAGAATCCCCATCTCAATGCCTGTAGAGACAGGAACATTTAATTTATAGCAATTTCCTTTTCTTTTCATGGTTGCTACTAAACAGAACATGCTAGGTCTCAACCTGCATTTGCATTTATGCTAAATTACAAGCAGAACAATCAATACAAGTCCCAGCTCATGCTGCCCACAGCTGAACAGCAGCAAAGAGAATACTGCCAAGGAAATCTTTCCCACCCAGCCAGCTTCTTGCTTGTTTCTTTTTAATAGACATTGATAGATGGCATTTAGCCATCTATTTATTTATCCCAGTGGTCTTGGAGTGCCTCCCAAGAGTTGTGGAGAACAAAGGAGGAGTTTATCCTTTGACACCTTATGAATCTTCCTTGCAAGGCAGTTCCAGATGGCCATTTCTCAGGGTAGGGCAGGGCAGGACCAGCAGAGAGGGTGTCTGTGCCGTATCTCCTTTTTGAGTGCACAAAGAGACAGAGACAGGACTGCCTTTCACACGGGATTGCTCCTGGGTGGGGCCTCTAATGGGGTGGTTATTGTGGACACTCATCTCCTATAATTGATTCTTCAGCGGTGACTGTGTTCACCCTCTTTCCTCTCTCTTAGGTTCTCTGATGCACCAGCTCATCCTTCTTCATCTCCATGGCCCTTTTTCTTATCCACATCCCTTTCTTTTTGCTTTTCTCTCTCTCTTTAACATGCCCTAGTGGCTACAACCTTACATTTTTCATATTGTCAGCTTCCTGGGATGAGGACAGTTTCACTGGTGGGTGCTGGTATGCTCTGGTCTGTGCCTCTGCCTCTTAGATGTGGCTCATTGAAATGCTGTGCCTGCCCTGGTCTGCAGGACGTTCAGGTGTGCTTGAGTGAACTATCCTCAGGGGTTTGCAGCAATGTGAACAAACCCATCTGAAGTCAGTGTGGCTGTGCTAAGGGAAACTTTCTAGTAGAACCTGCAGTCTCCATGGGCTGGGCTTACTGCTGGAATAATGTGCAGATGGAAGAGAAACAAAAGCTACAGCAATCATTATCTGCTCTTGTGCACAGGTCCTTGTTCAGGGCTTCAGAGTATGTCCTTTCTACTAATTGACTTTTAATTTGCAAGCATTACCTGGTCCTTCTTGCTGTCAGTTTGGGCTTATCTGAAATGCTAACTAGCCCTGCAAAGCACTTTTTTAAAGTCTGACAGAAACTTCCTTGGAAAAGCGACAGGCTTGCTTGTCCTCCTCAGATTTCTTCTTTGGAAGTGTCTCTAAAGTGAGACCTGCCCAGCCACCTTTGATATTGCTTCCTATCTTCATGAAACCTCAGGCAACAGCAGCCTGGTGAGGAAAAAACATCCAGCTAATTGGTATTGCTGCATGCAGGAGTACTGGCCCCCTTGCATGTGCCTCAGTGATCTGCAGGAGAAGAGCATTGGCACAGCCTGGGAACACCAGGCTCCTGGAGCACATGCAGGTGCCCCTACCTGGGGCACATTCAGTGTGATGTTCACTTGAATTTCGATGTACACCATTGCCCAGGGAGTGCCTCACTGCCGTCTCTCTGGATTTCCAGGTGCTGGTGTGACGACTGCAGTCATCCTTGGCACACGTGTGCGCCTGCTCTCCATTCCACTGATTGTAGGTGACTGGCTGGAGGAGTGATCTCGGAGCTGGAAGGCTGCTGAGCCCGAGTGCTGCAGTGAGCATTCCCAGCGCCCCCCTCTGCCCCGCTGCTCTCCCTGCCGCGTTGCTGCATGTGTGGGTGAAGGCACGGCTGCATCTCAGTGCCACCCTCCCAGCAAAGCACAAAGTGGGAAGGTGTTCACTGCCTTTGCCTCCGGACCCACGCTGAGCTTAAACCAAGCAGAAGAGCATCTCTGTGATCCTGCAGTCAGCAGCCATATCCTGCAGAGCCGCAGCGACTGAATGAATTGACAGGATTAATGTGACTCCAGGGGGTCTCCCTGCAGCTAATCAGGAGACGCTGGTCCTAATGAATGAAGCACAGTGGAGAGAACTAGTACGCTAAAGGCAGTGAATGTCCCCTTCATTGTAGTTACAGTATTAGTGATTAAAACATTACTCTGTGGGATGCAGCTAGCTCTCAGTCTAATTCTTGAACTGACAGGAAAGAAAAGCCCATGAAATGTCAGCTTCAAATATAATGGAAATCACTGCTCAGGACGTTCATGTTTTTTGATCAAGGGTTGTGCTGTTATTGATGCCGGTGTTGGGGGCTATGGTTTCAGCTCCTGCCTGTCTCCCATGCAGGTCCAACTCAGAGCCTGCTCCATGGCTCAAAACCAAGAAGGTTCAACAGAAATGAGATGAATTAATCATTTCCCCTCCATAAACTGATGCTTATAATCATGGCTGTGATTCCCTGTTATGTCTTCCTTTCTGCAGAGAACTTTATTCCCTACTGTGATGAAATAAAATGAACCAAACCATTGTCAAAACAATTCAAAGCGCTCTGCTCCTTTGGGCAGAGGAATCAGCTCTACTTTGCCTGTTAACTCCTCGAACTGCTGAAGAAACAGGTGCGGGGAAAAATGATAGTGTGTCTAATATTATATT